GCGCCTGCTTTAGGTCTTGTAGTTCCTTGAATGATAGGATGGGTGAGGGGTGTATGTTTTCACATACAGTATATGTATATAGCTCTCAACGTGTTTGCTCACCTATGCGTGCTCTCATGTGTTTGTTCACACATGTGTGCTCCCTTACGTGTGCTCTCTTGCGTTTGCTCTCATATGTGTTCTCTTTGTGTGTGCTCAACCATTTTGCTTTGATATGTGTGCTCTCATGTCATGTGCTCTAGAGGCAGACAGTGCGCTTGTTCGTGCCTATTCACCCTTGTTTGTTGTAGAAACGCCTTTCGGTCTCTTGCCGGAATATGTGTTTTTTCTGCATGGGAGGATCTTCCGACCGGTTTTCACCTTCAATTCCAACTGTTTGCCCAAAGCTGGCTCCTTCCCCTTGACCTGCTGAGCTGGAAACAGAGGTTCTTGGCCGTTGCGTTGGCACAGCATGGTGTTCCAAAAAGAGCGACCACATGTTACTGTAAAGGCTCTGGTTTTTTGGAGGACATGACATACGGGCTCTGTTTTTTTTGGAGGACATGACATACTGTTGACCCATGCAAAAAGACAACATCCACTGCTTCTCCAGTGGTTAGGCTTGCCATCACGAATGATGAACAAACATCATAATTCAACAGAGAATCCTTCAATGCAGTTGATGCAGGGTTTCTCCAAAAACACTTCAGAAAACGGAGCTGGGACATGCTGGGGCTCATGCCACGGGCCGAACGATGCAGGTGCCCCAGCTCTATGGAACCCTCAGCAAGTCCCTGTCACACGACGATTCGTCCGGGTTCCCCAGCGCGTGTCTCACGCCGCCCCGAACTCTCACGGCGAGAAGGGGCGCAGAAGGGGCGCCGAAGGCGCTGTATGAGGATCCGGGACGGGTGAACTCACCACGTCGCATCTTTGGGAGGGTTCGGCAGAACAAAACAAGCAGAAGCAACATGCCCGGAATCCAGTTCTTCCCGAGCATTTGACCTCGGTGGGCACCGGAGAGGTTCCCGGAATCCAGCCGGTCTGGAGGGGTGCCATCCATGGAGGTCTTCTCGCGGAGGTCGGTGATCTCTTATTGGGCCTCACGGAACGGCTTAGATCGAGAGCACTGGGGATTGATGCCATGGACGAGAACAGCGCAGATCGAAGGAACCCTCTCTTGGACCCGAAAAAAACGCCTCCCAAGTCCGTTAAAACCACGTGGTTTCTGGGAGCAACAGGGAGTTCGGTCCGTGAAATGCAGCTGGTTCAAGACCTCAGGACGAAGACTTCACGTTTAAGACCAGGCCCGTTCTGGACATCTTCAACTTCCACAGATCCCCAGCGGCTCGCGTTTCTAACGCAGGGGGTCCAATCCATTTATTTCGACCTGGAGATCTACAGTTCTTCTATCTGTTTGGGGACCACTCTAGAAGCCCCACTTCTTCCACTTCTCCTACTTCGCCGCCCCTAAAAGGCTCATGGCATTTCTCGTCATGTCTCGATCCCCGAGGCCACAGAGCTTCGAGCTGCTCTCGCAGCTCGTGGCATTGCTCGCCGTGGGACACGTGGAGATTGTGCCTTGGGCGTCTGGCAAGGAACACTGACCCGGCGCCGGGAGGCTGGGAGGCCGGGGAGGTGTGGAGGTGTCCAACACAGTCCCCACTGGACTGAAATCCGTGACTCCAAGCACCGGCCGAAGGTCCGGCAAAGGAAACGCAGGGGTGTGGTGACGGGATCGCGGGGAGAGGTTTAAACCTGGATCGCGGGCGATGGTATGTGACACGGTTTCTGGGCGGACATCGACTACGACAGCTGCTTGACCAAGCTCAGGCCTCCTCCTTCGTGCAGGCGGGCGCAGTGCGTGGCCTTTGTTTGGGGCTGCAAAGGCGGGAGGGGGGGCTGGGAGTACTCTGCCAGCAGGCAGCCCGGGCCCACAGCAGGGGGGGGCAGGCGGATGACGGGAGGAGGGGCAGGTTCTGCGCAGCGGGAGGAGGCCACGGGAACACCTTTGAGAGTGTCCATGCGCCAAGAAGAACCTTTGTTCTGTGGCCACCCAAATGACTGGATCCGATAGGCTGCGGCACACCACAGATCCGACCACAGGTGTAGTGATGTGAAGAAAAACCATGTTTTCATCGCACAAATAGACAGTTCAATGACTTTCCAACAGGTTGAAGAACCCGAAGTAGGCTATCCCAGTTCGGTACCCCAGGTGATGGGTCCTATGTGACAGGTCCTATTTACAGTCACTTGACCTCAATGACTTTCCCAAGATTCCAACCACCATTGATTTAAGGGTCTTGCAAGGCGTGGGACTGCTCGACCTCGACCTTCCAAGACTTCACTAGTCGACCTTCGGAACCCGAACTCGTCGTCTTTGAAGCCTTTGAAGCCAAAAAAAGCAACCTTTAAAGGAGAAGCATCTTTACCCACGGGCACGAGGCGTACGGGACATCAACTGGGCGCCCCTAGCAGGAGCAAGTAGGAGCTAGTCCTCGCAAAGCTCATGGAGTTTTTCCGGACCAGGTGCGCTCCCGCTTTTCAAGCTGCCCTGACTCACGCTAGAGACTTGAGCTAGAGAGCTGCTGTCGAGTCCAACTACAACACGCAGCCGGACGGTAGTCGTTCCCCCGCAGGTGGTGCAGGATTAGCATGTTTAGCTAGCGCTATACTAACCCTGTTCGTCTGGTGGTTTTGGGACACCCCGAATCACCTCTTTATGAGGCAATGTATAGACACCTTGTAGAGGAAAGGCACCTGGTAGAGGTCTAACGCCACGACCGAGACGCAGCCAGGCACTCTGCGCGGAAGGCTCTGCAACGACAGGGGCCAGGAACTCAAGAGTTCGATAGGTAGGAAGCAACTCCTCAGTGCCAGCCAGCAAGTATGGCATATGGCTAACAGCAAGTACCAGCAGTCACAAAGGGATGGTTTTGAGTCCCAAATGAGTGGATGTGACAAGGGCACCACCCGTACCAAGTTCGGCACCCCGACATGTGACTGCTGGTATATGATATTATGGCATGTTTTGGAGAGTTCTGGCTGCTTCTTCGCCACTCTGAGCGTTGTTACTACGTGGGGTGTTTCGGGTGGAGCAGGGTGGGTTGTCTCTTTGGTTTTCCCCTCATGCCGACTGGTGCTTAGCAGGGAATGAGGGAAGACAGACCCTCCACTATAGAATCTATAGATAGCTTATAGGATCTCCATTCCCCTATTCTCTACTAACTAAGCACCAGTTGGCATGCCTGCAGTTCCAGCCATTGCGCAACACAACAGCGGCGGACCGCACATGTGCAGCATTGGAAGGTCGAAGAACCAGGACGGGTCACGACGCATCAATCGCCTCGGCCGTCGTCTTCCCGTGGTGACGAACGGGTCCGGACGAACCACCACTCAAGGTCGGACCGGTCGAAGGTGTCGAAGGTGACGAACACACAAGAACTGACTCGGTCGGCTGTTTGGAGTCCAGTTTTTCATGACCCAGACACTCCATGTACAGAATCGAAGACCGCCGCACTTGAACTTGAGCCCGCACTTCAACAGTAGATATTCCATCTGAGATGTCTGGCATCCTCCCTTTTACCACCCGCAAAGTGTACCACCTCTCCACCCGTCTCCACCTCTCCACCTTTCGCCACTTCGTTGACACCCCCATGCGAACGCCCGACCTGGGCTCAGTGTCCAAGGCTCTTGGCGTTGGCCTGCTTGGTGCACGACGGAGGTCGGGGGAGGAGACGGAGGACTGGCGGACTTGGTTCGAACGCCCAAAGCGGTTCTAAACCGGTTTTTTTTCCACTGCTGTGCCGCCGCAATGGAAGGAGTGGTGCCAGTTCTTTCCACCTTGGATCCGTTTTTCCACTTTTGCGGGCTTGGAGATGAGTGGTGCCCCTTTGTTTCAAGCAATGAGGGGCCACTGCGCAGCTTGTGGGACCTGGAAAGAGATGTCCAGCAGGAGATGTCCTGGAGCTGGGCGATGTGGGGGGGGATCGGGAGCGAAAGCCACCTTTTTTTGGAGGGGATTGGTTGATCCTCCTATGATGAAGAATCCGCTCGGTCTCTGTCTCGCACCAACTCTCCGGTGCCTCCGCCCACCCCGAAAGCAAAGGACGGTGACCCAATGGCAGCCTCATTGGGGTCCGATTCTGGCCCACCAAGGCCGGCCTTCAAAACAACTCCTCCCCCCTGGCCAACAGGGACCAGGCTTCAAATTCAGGGTGGCTCCAAAGGAGGTGGTTTTTTGGGACGACCCGTTTCAGAGGAGATCCGCCCTCATCTCGTGATCCGCCTTCAAGGGCACGAAGAAAGTGCCGAGCCGCTTCTCCGCTGGCGATGTGCGCCGAAGCTTCTTGTTCAGCTCCAGGGATCTGCTGTTTTGGCTCAGCTCTAAGGTCAATAGTGTGACCTAAGCAGACCTCAGCAGCTTTTTGGATGCTTTTGGGTGAAGAATCCGATTTTGGTTTGGGAACATCCATTGCTTTGACGACTTTTGCGGGGTGATGTTGGAACAAACAGACTCTAGACTGGCATGCAGCATCAGGTATTGACCATTATGATTTGAACTCGCGAGTTGGGTTGGACACAGTTGGGCAGACTAACTCGGCTGTGGCAAGTTCCACTCGTTGAACATCCATGCTGCTGTGAACATCCATTGACCCAACCCACCATGTGTAGATTTTGATGTTTCCCTTGTGGAAGCCTGGCACCCTGCATGAAGGCCACAGACTGCTTCATTGATTCAGAGATTTATGGATATTCCATTACCACGTGGGTAGCCAACAGAACTGCGAATGCACGACACCTCTTCAGATATTCTTTGTGCATTCCGACTGCCAAGCGTGCCATCAGCGCTTGTGCTTTCGAAGAAAGCATGTGGTGCTGCAAGCACAGGCCGGCTTTTGATGGCAGTGACGGATCTGGGCGCCTCACCGTCAGGTGCAAAATAGGTCAAAGTGTCCAAGCACGGGTGAACGGTCCTTGGAACTCGGCTGAAGCTCGGCACGCACGCCGAAGATCGGTTCTGTTTCGATTTCGGCAGTGATTGATCGATCGATGGTGCCGTTCACATCCACATCGAGAAAAACCGGGTTTTCTTTGGGATTCGAGGACTTGACTTGACCCAAGCACAGTGCATGGTGCCCAGAAGGGCACCCCCGATCCTTTTCTCCGAGCTCAGCACCGCGAGACGATGGAACTGCTGGCAATCCGGCACCCTGCTCCTTCCTCCGCAGGGAGGTGCCACATCTGCCAATTCGCGCCACATTTTCGGTGCCAAGAAACCATCCCCTTCGGTTTTGATCATGAGAATCGCTATTCCGAAAGCGATGGACGAACCAGCCTGGCTTCGTGCAGACCATTATCCAAGAAAGGTTGACCAGACATGACCTGGTGTTGTATTGTATTTTATGGTCTAACATCCAGTGAAAACCAATGGTTGCTGGGATTCAGCCCCCATTCTATCAGCTCCCCCACTCCGACCCCTTCCCTCTAAGAACTTCCATGTTCAAACAGCCGAAGCTGCGCAACGAACGGAGCACCGAGACCACGCGGAGACAGCCGCGACGGCAAGGCAGCACGTGAAGCTCGCCGAGACGCCGCCCGTGCCAAAAGCGCCGCCGGCGAAGCCGCGGCCGGAGGGCAGGTGGCCCTGGTGTGGTGGGTGTGGGGTGTGGCGATGAACGGCTGTGCCGGTGACGACCGATCAGAGGAGAGGGTTAAAGGGATGTTCAGGAGTGAAGAAGACAGAAGTGGTGTTTTGCTGGGTTCAAGAGCTTTTGACTGACGACTGGTACGGGGATATGAGAAGCTGAGTTCGCGAACCTGGGTTGTTCGGAGTTCGAGCAGGTGGCGCCAGTGCTTTGATGGCTACTCACCAACTATGTGGTTGAACTACGTATGAAAAAGGAGAACCGCCAGTTCGAAGCCCCTGTGTAGACATCGATGACCAAACCAGCTCCCAATCTGCTGGGGTCATTGGGGGCGGCTTCCGCCCAGCGCCACGCCAGGATTTGCCCCATCACTGGCCTGGAAGGCGCGCCGAAGCCGAAGCCGATCCGTAGGACTCCTGGTCACAGCGGGGGAATAGAAGATTCTTGCTAGTTCGGTGGGGGGTAGACGTTTTTTGTTGCGGAGAGGGTTGTCCAGAGGTTCTAGGGGTTGGGTGTTTTCAGTTCCCAGATTGGTGTTTTCCCTTCCCGTGGTGTTTCCTTTTCCCAGATTGGTTTTTTTCGGTTCCCGTGGTGTTTCTGGTTCCCAGGTCTTGGTGTTTTCAGTTCCTGGATTGGTGTTTTCCTTGCCCAGCTCCTGTGTTGGTGTTTTTGGTTCCCAGGTTTGGGTGTTTTCAGTCCTGGACAATGTGTTCCCTGCCCGGCGCCCTTTCACGTGTTTGTTTGTCAGCTTTCGTTTGAATTTCTGGCTACCATTGCCCACCGCTGGATTTGAAAGCACGTACTCGTGTCACACAATTACACCGACAAAGAACACCGCAAAACCGTCAAAGCCATTCGCTGTAAAAACATGTCAGTTTGCGTAAACCCACTGCCGCAAAAACACAAGGTACCCGGTGGTTCCTGCTCAGGCGCGATGCACAGGGGCTGGGTCGTAGCTTCTGGCGCTTTCGGACCAAATGTCGTTAGTGTGAACTGAAAGATGCTCTCCAGAAAGGGCAAAAAAACTTGCCGCCAGAAGGCGTTCCTAGATGGTTCGGGCGCTGGCAAGGCACGGCCGAAACTGAACAAGCATCGCTGAACCAAACCAATGGGTTTGGTGAAAGCTGCCAAACACCAGTACTGTAAGAAATAGAGCTCCTGCTGCAAACAAGACACCTCCATGTTTGTGGACACCGTCATCGGAGGTGGCTCCTGCACCGGATCCAAACGGTGGGTTGGCTCACGCCGTGCGGCGCGCTTGCGGTCAAGCATGGTGGTGTGGCTGAACTCATCTCCATGCGCTGCGTCCAGGAACATTGTGAGATCCACGTGCTCCCCTTTCTTTGTGCCACCAGCTGACGTGCCACTGAAACTTAAATCCATGCACTGACCAGCTTCGTCACTGTGCAGCAACAGATAGCTGTCGGTGTGACGTAGCTTGTCAATGGGTGGTGGTGGTGGTGGTGGTGGTGTTGTTGTTGTTGTCGTGGTTTTTTGCTTGTTTGTTGATCGTTGTCGGTCATCCTTGTTAGTCGTCGTCGTTGTTGTTGTGGTTGTGGTTGTTGTTGTTGTTGTTGTGGTCGTTGTTGCTGTTGTTCGTGGTGGTCGTGGTGGTCGTGGTGGTGGTGGTGGTGGTGGTGGTGAAGGTGGTGGTGGTGGTGGTGGTGGTGGTGGTGGTGGTGGTGGTGGTGG